GACAGCAACCTTCTATGTAGCAGAGCAGTCAAGTTAGAGCAAGCAATCGGAAGTCAAATGGTACATCCCAAGTAACAATACAAGCTGAACATTAAGAACAGAAGCTGATTATTGGTTGATTTAAGGTGTACAAAGCTGATTAACATCAGGCTAATTATATAGTTGATAAGTAGTGCATGAAGCGAATTGTATCCCCATAATCCAACCTCAATAGGTTAGCTGATCCAAAGATTGAACAAGCCTTATTCAAGCTTAACACAACTCCACAAATCAGCACTGCGTTACACATATTTTGAAAGCTTGATTTGTTAAATGTCGTCAGTGCCTGTGTCACTCGTTCCATGTCCGGCATTTTGGTTCTACTAAATTCACTGCCTACCTTTCTAATTACAGGCAGTGGCAGCAGTAGAGTCAAGAAAAAAGATATTTTTAGGAATAGCTTCAGGTAGAAGTGGTCTGCGAGGATGTCGGAAGTATTAACATTTGTACTTCTGTGTCTTGACTGTTCACCACTTTATATTGTACTGAATTTTCAGACCGTATTCCAAAAATATTACTCAATTATGGCACTAAAATAGCATCCAAATGACCATCAAAATAAATCGCGTGCTTGTGTACACATTATGTTAAGTGCACTTGAAAATTAGAGGAATGTTTAACTGTCACCAATTGTTGCTTACTATTCTGCATTGCTGTATAATACTCTTCCGGGTGCTGTTATTTAACTTAAATTTGACGTGCTTCAAGTTAATGATCATACCTTTTACCACACATATGTATTCCTAAATAGTCCAGTAGGTATGGTTGACGCCTATGATTCAGCGACTGCCGGTTTGAATCCCGAAATGCAAAGGTAATTTTTAGACTCATATTAACAATATAAATATGTTAATCCAATTAGTCGGCAACAAGTTGAAGCAGTTCCATAAAAATGCATAAGATTTGAAGCGGTCTTCCATTATTATTTTTGAAATAAAACTAGAAGGCTGAACAAGGGTTGGAAAAGACTGTTATTTAATGCCTTAAAAAGCTTAAAATGTATATTACTGTTAAGCTTTTGGCTGATTAAGATCACCAGATTTAGATGTTTAAAAGCTGAACAAAGGTTAACGTGGTCTATGTACAGCAATTATTCAATCTAAGGCTAAATTGAAATCGATTAATCAACACTTGTTAAGCATCAAATTGTTACCTGGGATATGCACCAGCAGATATGAACATTCTGATCTGATTTGTACAGTATACAATACATGGCATTGAGAATAACCCAGAGAAAGAGTCACTTCTACTCAGTTGTATGAGAAACAATGCAGGTATTCAGCACTGAGTTCCTGAAATTTTTAGAAATTTTCCATATCTCTTATAATGGTCTTATCCATCTGAATAAATTTACTAAAGACAGCAACCTTCTGTGTAGTCTCAGCGCTTGAGCAACCTACGCTTTTAGAAATTTTTCCATATGAATGAGTAAAAGTGACTAACCCTCTGAATAAGATCCGTTTTCAGAGAATGTAGACTGCTTAATCAAGCCTTTTGAATCAAAGGACACTAGCGCTGCATGGTGAGTGAATTCTGAACTGAGAGACCAGTCATACGATAGGTTTTGTCCATCCGAATAACTTCACTCAATACATAAACCTGCTGTCTAGTAGTGCTGTCAAGTTAAAACATGGAATTTAATGCAAATTGCACACTAATCTTGACAATCCAATAGGTCTTATGCATCTCAAACGCGTTTAGAAATGTATGCATACGTTTTCCGAGTACAACGCAACGAATACCCCTTTACAGCACTTGGCAGTCAAATTGTCTACGTAATTGTCTACGTTTCCCTTAGTTAATCATTTAGATTAGCATTATAAGCTCCACTTTTTTTTCTGTAGTTTGCTGATGTAGATCAATGGATAGAGAAAAGCAAAGAAAAAATGACATTGAGTATAGAGCAGTGATGCCATATATACAGATTTATCTGTAATCATACATATTTTCTCAATATTTTGATACAGATATCTGTACATACAGACTACAGATTTTTAGAAACTTATACAGATTTTACGGACTTTTCAAATAAGTGAAACATATTTTTCAATCTTTATTATATTTAATAGTTCCGATGAATAATCGTTTCATTTCTTTTTCCTTGACTTGTTTTCCTTCGATCTTGCGTTCCGCGCTGATGCTACCGACTCTAGGGTCCGAGGCTTTACTTCCCGAAGGAAAGCGTGATCAGAGATTTTATGCCTCAGAAAATCCCGGTGGCGCCGACTGGGATTGAACCCAGGCCTGCTGGAGTGAGAGGCAGTTATGCATACCACTACACAACCGGCACCACTATAATAGTCTCTTCCTGTTGTGCAGTTTGAATGCACTCTTGGAGCACAAAACCCAAATAGCATTTTTCATTAAATAAAATATTATTGTATTATCTTCGACAATTTTGAATAGGCTGATTTCTCGTTCTTAGGGATATTAGTTTCCTTTTCTTATTATTTAATTAACTTTAGTTTGTGTATTGTGCGTGTAGTTTTTTTAATGTTTGTTTTCAAGATGAATAGAAATAAGCTCATGTTTTAGGTTTAATTAAATATTTGTATAATAAATCATATTTCAAACCTCCTTCTCCCTTTCCCCATCCAAAAAATTGTAAATCTCCACTAACCTCGAGACGACCGCGAGTAATCGGTTCAATTCCTTTAACTCTAGATTTAAGACATGAATCATGTATAATGCAAATGATAACTCGGCTCTGTAAAGTTTATTCGATTGAGCCTGTACAAATAAATTAATATAAAAAAATAATAATTAACTATGTCACATGGTGACAGGTACGATGGTTAATTCAATTTTTGGTTTTGTCAAATTGGTGAACAAGCAACCCACACATTGATTGATTACAGTTGGTGAATCAAAGACGTTTGAATAGCGTCATATCTGAATAAATAACAATGTTTGCAATTCGACTAAACTTCCAAATAAAAATGTTGTGCTGTGACAAAATGCAACACAATTGATAAAACAGAGAGTGCACATTGAGAAACACAGATGGAACTATCACAGAGTGTTGCACAGTCGTATACTAACAGCAAATACTGACTATACACTTAGTCGTATAGGTTCGAGCAACAACAAGCGAATAACCCGACTGTAAATGAATTTTTCTTTGAGTGTGTTGTTTCAGGCGCAAGCCAACATCATCTTCTGTTGAACTGTGCTACGAGCTTAGCGAGAAATTCGTTTAAGTTGCCGTGGTAAACCAAAGAGAAAGTCGATGAAGAGAATCGATCAACGAGGATAGGCCCTTTTAAAATGTTACACGAGCAATCTCATTTTAATCTCCCAAATGCTCAAATAAAGCTGCAATCTAGTTTGATCACATGAATTTGCGCAAACGAATTATCATATATTAAAATATGATAAATAATACCGGGTGGTGAAATGGACCGAACCAGATCTTAGGCAAGTATTTAACACAAGCGAAGAAAAAATAAATAAATCACGGGTTTAAATACAAAACCAAATAGCCAGAAATAGATTTTCGTAATCTCTGCCATTGAAAAATAAAATTCTAGGGAAATGTGATTGTTACTTCCTTTTTTTATAATGCGTTTATTTTTCCAGGCTCATTGTTGTTACTTCCTTGAAAAGCCATTCATCCGAAAGTAGGTTTGTGTCTCGCTAGTAGGACTTGATTTTCTGTATTTCTGGATTTTTTGAAAGTCTTTTTAAAATACAAATCACTTAGGAAATCAAGATTCCAGTATTACGAGATCTCTTAAATAGATAAATTCTTTTGAAAGCAAACTTCGCTTTTCAAGATTCTAAACTTTGTACAATCTCTTTCTAAACGTTGAATTTGAGGGAGATTTGCGTAGATCCACGCTAAGACCATAAAGAAGTTATACAGATTTTTGTCAGTCAGATACAGATTAAAAAAAATGTTATGATGATACAGATTGAAAATAGAAAAAAATATGACAACACTGGTGATTGGTTGATTTCGGCTGAAAACTTTGATCAATTTTCAATAGTTAACCATTAACAAACAACTATCACCTTTACACCAAACAAATCCTACATTCAATCTGAATAAAATGATGGGTTTAAATGGAATTTCATTGATAAATGACCATGTTATAAGCGTTCAAAACCTAACACTATTTCGTCACACAATGTTTTTGATTTGCACCCCAGTATAGTCCACAAAGACGTAGTCCCACGTCAAAACGCACACGAACAATATTATAAAGCAACTGTGGAAGTCCTTCAAAGAATGTTGAGTTAAGAGCCGGTAAAACGCTCGCATAAAAGCATCAACAGACAAGATGCAGAAGATGAAGTGTTATCAAAATACCTTCATGCACATTTTAAATACTAGTTTCGTGTGTGAGAGAGAGAGAGAGTAATCAGTTCTATGGAACCTAACAGGCCACTAAAATTTCCACAACGATCTGCCAGCCATCTAACTAATATGCGCAAGAGTGTAGCAAAACTCTAAAATGTCCTTTTCTCTCGCCGTCTGCCGCACTACACACACCTCTGCAGATATAAAATCTATGCACAAGTATGACCAAACCTAAAACTACTTGAAAAGAAACCAAACCCGGGACAAGTAGGTAATCTCCGAAGAAAAAAAAAGTTTGCCTTTCGGAGAACGATTAGGAGGAGTACACACATCACAACAACACATCACTTTTTTTTTCCTCCTCTAATCGCCTGGTAGACATCGGATAGGCCAACAGGCAGCAGACAGATAGGCAGGAGGACCAGCGGAAAGTCTGGGCAGGTAGGCAATTGAACAACTAAACGAAACTTGTGCTGGTCCAACGTACAAGTGACAGATACAATGAGGAGGATGAAGAGCAGGCAGAGGTAAAAAACGGACTGGACAGAGTCCGCAGATAGAGAGAGAGAGAGAAGAGAAAAAAAATGCCTGTTTAAATTAATGATGGAATAATAATACGTTCAATAGCTTAGAGAGTTACCATGAGCGTCATACGCACCCTCGATTCTCGATTGTTGGGGATGTTTAGTTTAATGACATCATTTTTTTCCGCTGGTGACGCCGCTTAACTCTAGAATCCGGACTCTGGCTGGAGGATGTAGCACACGGACCGCGAAGATGATGAAAGTAGCACGTGTTCTTTGGGTCCGTTGAATTCAGGGTTCGCCACGCTGCTTTCAGAACGAGCGTTCAAATCTTTTATTTTTCCACCGTGTTTCTTCTCCTTCTTCTTCTCACTTGCTTTAATCCGACACTTAATCCGACTTGGCTCTTGACACTTGACACTGGGTACTCGAAATTCCTAGGCTCGGAGAGTGTTATTATCCAAATCCGGTGCGATCTTCTCCGTCCAACGGACTAGTCTTCGGTTCCCTCTCGGAGCACTGGGATTAAAACAAACCAATTCAACTCAGCATGTGAGCACTCACTGATTTTTCGCGGCAAGCCGTGACTTCACCAAACTTTAGCACATTCGCCGAAAATACACTCTTCAATTATTTATCTTAAGAATCACCACTTTACCTCAAACTACGCGCAGCATCTACCACTAGCAGCCAAAAGACCGGACTGTGGACCAACCAAACTTGCTCTTGCTTTAGCTCTGCTCACAACAAGTACATTCGTTCAAAATCAATTGAAGTGCCAAAAAAGAAGGTACAAATATCAGTAAAAAGAACTAACGACAAGCTCCTTCGGCTAGAGGTAACAATACACAAAACCAGTCATCAGTCACCACAAATCTGTGTATTATGTGTATATGAGAATCCGTCAAAAGAAAAAAAAAAAGAAAAAAGTAAATCTCCCGAGCAGCAAGTACGGGGCGCGCGCGTTCGCACCTAATCCGAATATACCCTAGGCAAAACCCGACCGAGTGGTGCGTCGTAGCAGGCGGTGGAGGTTTCGATTGCGATGTACTCCGGCCGAGCAATGAATTCAAACTATTTTCGTTACTTGCACGCCTATCGACGATCACAGCAACCCGAAAAGTGCCAAAATATTGAATTCGAAGATGATGTGTGTAGCAGCAGCTCCTCTCCTCTCCCGGCGAGGCTTGCTTGGCTTTTGCTTGTCTGTACGAGCACTCCGTTGTTGGTGCTCGTCGATCGTAATAAAATATTACTAATGACTAAAATTGATTTTTATTTTCAGCATACATACCTCCTCTTTCTAGCTGCTACTGATGGGCGCAAGGAGGAGCAGTGCGGGTAAAATTTTTCGGGGCCTCTAGCGAGGAAAAGAAATGCAAAGATCACCACCTATTCGATATCGATTTGTTTACTGTAGTTTTTTTTTTTTTTTTCTTTCTGCTCTTTTAGTGGTATTGTTGATGTTGTTGTTGCTGCTGTTGTGGATCTCCTTTGGTTTTGTAGACGATCGGGGTGGTTATCTTTTATTTCGAATCTCTCTTTTCCTCAGCTCCGGCAGTGGCAACCCCGTGCACCCGAGAAAAAGGCAGCGTTTAACCCCGAAAATCCTTCTCATTCAGAATTTGAAAATTGTTACGGTTCGGTATGGATAATGGTCGTGTTATCTGGACATTGTATCGAAATCTTCAAAACTGCTCACGGAACTTTCCTTAGAATCATAGTACTTCCCTGAACTTCTATGCACTTTTCAAAAATTCCAATAATTTTCCTAATGATCATGGATCTTCTCTGAAGCCCCCGAACATTTTCTGGAATTCTACGCAGTTCTTCTTCTTCTGTTTTGTTTTGACAACTTCTTCTTTTTTGTTTTAATTACCCCCCCCCCTCCAAAAAAAAACATGACCTTCTCCGATTTGCATAATCTAGTAATTATGCAAATCGGAAAAGGTCATGTATTTTCCCACTCTAAACGTTGTATTTTTCCCAAGGGGTAAGTCACTCAGCACATTGTGCCTAAATTAGATTCGGCACAGCTTGAACACATCCATCGGCACACTTTCGGCATACCTTCGGCACAATCTCGTAGGCATTAGTTTGTTGTAAATAAAATGGGAGCACTGCTGGATAACTGTCATTGAAGATATTACAACATAACGTGCTGTTTGAATGTATATTCAGGAACATAGACCAATTGAATATACCAGAGGAACTCAGACCAGCAATTCACTTATAGATCTAAATACGAAATGTAGGTTCTAGAGTGGGCTCAACAGAAAGAGGAAGCTTTGAGTTCTTCCGTTATAATTGCTTATCTTTTGACAGATACGCGTATTTCGTCTACGACTTGCAGACTTCATCAGTGTCAAGTACTCAACACCACTGTTGAGTACTTGACACTGATGAAGTCGCAGCTTGCTCTATAACCGGCACAAACGGTACACCTGCGGCACTCTGACAAAAAAGATGACCCAAGATTGGTGTGCCGAGTGACCCTCGGAGTGACTTACCCCTTGATTTTTCCTCATATACCAATAAAGTTCTCAGTGATGTCTATAGCAACTAAAGATACTTAAAAAGTACCTAAGAAATATCTATCGCTGGTTTATTGTTATCGGTTTCATCTGTTTGTTTACCCAATTGCAGGAGATTTGTGTGGATTTTGTTTTATTGGTTAAGACATTAACGTTCGTTTTATTAACCTTTGCGTGCCTAACGTCTAAATTTGAATATATTTCAAAATTGAATTAGCTGTCACCAAATAATTTCTCATTTTGTTTTTTTCACAATAAATTGCATTTTGTCGGGAATACATTGAAATTTGTGAATCCATCTGAAAACATTTGGATCAATACATGGTTCCAGTTCCCGTTGGGGTAACTTTTAATTGGTATTCGGCTTTACTGTTCTGTAATAAGTATACACACGATGAAAATTTTGTTTTTTTCCCTCAAATGATGTAATTGGACCAATGACAGCTATACACGATCACATTGTCCTGGTACCCCCGGGGAAGTGGCCAATTCTCAACAAGAACCACACCTATCTTGCGACATATCAAACTTCATGATTTTACTAATCTTGGCCGGTAATGGTCTTATTGAGAGCCCACGGTCACACTAGCCCTTCTGGGCATGCTCCGGTGCCCCGGGGAAGTGGTCAATTCTCGACAAGAGCCAAAACCCATCGTGTGACGTATCAAACTTCATGATTTTACAAATCTTGGCTGGTAATGGGCTTTTTGAGAGTACACGGTCAAAATAGCCATCCCGGGCATACTGAAATATCTCAAAAAGTGCATCTTCAATACTTATAATTTAATTTTAAAATAAAGCTCATGAAAAAAGCTAACTTTTGGAGTGTTTAAAACCACATGAAAAATGACAAAAATCGCAGAACATCAATTTTTGGTCATATTTTGAAGCTTTGAAAAAGTCCTTGAAATTTAAAAAAATCTAATGTAGTTAAAGAAAAAATCCTGAAAGTTAACCAATTTTTCCGAATTCCTGCAAAATTCGCTAAGTTTTGCTTATTTTCTACAATGTTTGCATAAGTTCTAGAAAATTATATGAACCAAGGTTTGGCTTGAAACTCGACAGATCATCGTTGTAGAGACACTTAGAGGCGGAGCTTAAACTAGGAGAACCGAATCTATGACAAAAGGTTGAAAGACAAAAGGACAAAGGATAAAAGGTCGAAATGGAGAAAAAGTCGAATGGGCAAAACATCGAATACACAGAGGTAGAGGTGGAAAAAAGATCGAAATCTAAGCTAATCTAATCTAATCTAATCTAACACCAACACAGCCAGTTCTTGAAAGCATCCTGGAAAATGATGGATATATCTCCACATTTTTTCTTATCTATTTGATATATGTTTCACCTCGAAGATGCGTCACACATATCAAAACGGCCAGGCCTACTGTGCAGCATTTAAGGGGCAAGATAATTCAGAAAACATCGAGCCTGTTTAAATCGAAGATCGATGCTTCATGAATCCAATAATTGGATGAAACGTGGACATCTCGTACCGTACGTTCCGATTTGGTAATTATATGATTGGTTGGTCGTTGGAAGCATCAAAGCTAGAAAGGTTAAGTGATGCTCCATTTTCTTCTGACGGTCGGGACATGAGCACTAACTCTTGTCCTAGCCTTTTATGGCTTATGTCTATAGCGCCATTACTCGCTTTATGAAAATAGAAGAGGGAAAAGAAAAGGAGAAGGACAAAGGGAAAAGAATTATTTAAACGCTATTAACATAAACAATATTTTTGATTTGAAATATATAATATAAATGCATAACGGCGGTGGTTACTACCCGAGTCTTGTCACTATTATCAAGTCGAAAAGGTAACAAGCACTAAAATGTAATCCTTTGATTACTGGAAAATCCTGATTCCTTAGTTTGAAGTTGTCACGACTAGGGTTTGGTGGTAGATCTTTTGCCAGTAGCGCACCGCAAAAAGGTGATCTCCCAACGTTACTGGTTTGAAAAGAAAAAAAAATACTAAATGGAACGAACTCACCAAGTTTAGTCAATTGAACCTGAAGGCTGCCTGACATGTGTTGATGTAGAAGTCTTAATTGTAGACGAAGTTTGACGAAGATCAACATGAACTAGTCCGGTTTATGGTAGTTGCGCGGAATTTCTTCCGTCGATTTGGGATAAACAAATGTTCGGATGTATGTAGTCGATTTTTGATGTGCCTTGGCAAGCCTTTTCGTGGCCAAAAGTCAGGTTCAACGCTGTGACTCAACGAATGATGGACCTAATGATGGGACGAATGATGGGACGAATGGTGGGACGCCTCGTGGAGGTTCTACTTGGCTTCGGAACAGCTTCTCAGCGGCAAATAATAGGGACTGAGGAACTAGAAATTGTCTCCTGGACCTGGTTTTGGCCAGATCAACAACCGATTATAGATAAAAAAAAAACTCCACCCGTTCCAACCTCCAACAATTTGACCAGTTTACGCATTTTGACCCTCTGTCCATTTAAAACTTATGACCATTTTGACCTTTTGTCCATTTCGACTCTTTGTCCATTTCAAACTTATGGCCATGTTGTCCTTTTCTCCATTTCGGCCTTTTGTCCATTTCGGCCTTTTGTCCATTTCGGCCTTTTGTCCATTTCGACCTTTTGTCCATTCGACCTTTTCAATTCGACCTTTTGTCAATTTAGACCTTTTGTCCATTAGACCTTAATTTGTCCATTCGACCTTTTCTCCATTCGACCTTTTGTCAATTTCGACCATTTGTCCATTCGTCCTATTGTCCATATCGAAGAATTATCCATTCGACCCTTCGTCCCTTTATGTTCAATTTGGCCATTCGATCTTTTGTCCTCTGACCTTTTCTTCTACTCGTTTAGGGTGGCTCCAGTCGATCAACAGCAATTAATTTTGTTCTACAACCAGGAAAAGCAAGTAGATAGGTACCGTAAACCGCTTACTAGCTTATTTTTAACACCAGTACTGGTGCAAACGAAATGGACCCTAATGAGCACGATAGCATGAGCATGATTGACCGCCCACGGATGCTACTCCGTTATTGCCAGATCAGCTGTAAGTGCACAGAGAACTAACATAGGATACTAGCAAGCATCTTCAATGTGTAAGACCTGATGATCTTAAATTAGACAGGTCAAGAAATGATTGGGTAGGCATGTGTTGACGCAATCCTCATGGTACTTCCACGAGAAATCACTGGGATGTTGGATAAAGGGTTGGTTATGCAGCAAATGCTCGTTTTGGCAAACGCTGCATTCAGTGTTCGAAAAGACGATTAAAGAATCTTTAATGTAGATGGGCATGAGTGTTCTGCTCAGTAAGCAAAACCGGTCGCTCTAAGGCCACCTAACCCCTCATATCACATAACACTACTGAGCAATTCAAACCCGGCACCGATGAAACGACGATAATTTTAACAAAATATGATGAGCAATATACTGATGCAAAATTTATAATGTTCGCTCCACAGTGTTCAAACGTTTCTAAATCGGGTCCTGATTAGCCTTCGAAAGTTTAACCTCATTTGATAAG